GGGCTTTCATCGAGTCTATCGACGAATAATTCGTGAAAGCGTGCGCGTTCCATGATAGAGACAGAGTGGCGAGGACTACAGTCCCTAGTTGAAGTCGTTTCATCGTTCGTGAATATTTGCGAAAATCGCGATGGTTGAAAGTGGGAGCTTGCTAATGGAACCAGCTTAATGCTGCGGTGAAGCGACGACTCTTGATGCCATGTAAAGTAGAGATGAGGGATCCGAACAATACTTGGAACGAACAAATAGCAGTGAATTTCAAAGAGAGAGGAATTAAAGAGAAATGCTTGCGTGGTAACTCGATAAGATGTTGAAGGAGAGAATAACAAAATTAACAATAAACCAAATGAAGCTTGTTATCAAGCAAGTGTTGAAGAAGAGTTGAACAGCTTAGGTAGTAGGTAACCTTAAGAGGTAATAGTGAGTGTCGGTCGTATCATTCACGTTCATCGGAGAGAGTTTTAGCTTGTCCGTCTCCTGTCCTGTCCTGTCCCAACAGCCTAACAAGAATAAGCGGGGATTGATAAAAGCTGGAGCAGCTGTCAGGAACCAAAAGATAAAAAGATTAGCTGGAAGGGTTGAGAATGGATTAGAAATTACGATGACATAGATTTGGGAATGTATTAGGTATGTTTTGTTTGTATCGTTCATATTGCAAAGTGATGGTTGGAAATGGAAAGCTTCATGGAAAGCTATTCGACTATCTTTCAATCCTCTCTATATACATATATGTACATGCTAACAAGACTTTCCAAAGTTTCTCCCTCATATCAATGTACAATGAGATGTACCTACTCAATCAGCACTCTACGTACGATAAAGTAGAGCATGTCATGTCAGGGCAAACGTTGTGTCTGAGCTTCACAAAATCCCCAACATCCTATTGGTCTATTGCTTCCGATTCCTCTCTCTTTCCTGGGGATGGCCGAGGTTTAGCAATCTCCACAATGCAATGTCATCCACGCCTTTCAAATATCCATTGCTCCATATGACAACTTGTTCCTACTGCAATATTGAAAATGTAGGTTTGTCAAATATATATAAAACAAAGATGTCCAATCCAAATGCCAACATCTCTTAGTCTTCTCTTCTAGACAATACTCTTCAACCCGTATACACTCTACCATCTCAAACATGGTCAAGATTGAGCCTTTCGCCGTAGAACAAGTACTACCCCTCCATTCTCCACCAAAACTGAAATGTCTCTAACATTCTACTTCCAGTGGATGGACAAATATGAGCTCACGCCTGGGGTTCTCAATATTGCCGAAACATGTGCAGCTTCCATCTCCATTGACGATCTCGTAAAGTTATCCGAAGATCCAAATCTGCCTCACCCAATCTCAACCTCGACCAAACTCACATATGGACATATCCGTGGATCGCCCGCTCTTCGAGAACGCTTGGCGTCTCTTTATTCCGCGAGAACTGCATCGGCTCTATCGCCAGAGAGTATACTCCTCACGCGCGGGGCCATTGAAGCGAATTTCCTTACACTCTATACGTTGATTGGCCCTGGAGATCATGTAGTTTGTGTGCACCCAACTTATCAACAACTATACTCTGTTCCACAAAGTCTCGGCGCGGAAGTCTCGCTATGGAAGTTACACAAGGGAAAGAAATTCATTCCTGATCTAGAGGAGCTGAAGCAATTAGTCAAGGAGAATACCAAAATGATTATTATCAATAATCCAAACAACCCTACCGGAGCTACAATTCCAAAGTCTGTTTTACAAGGCTTGACGGAGTTTGCGAAGGAAAAGGGTATCATTATTCTAAGCGATGAAGTTTATCGACCATTGTTTCATGGAATATCAGTAGCTGACACACAATTCCCTCCGTCAATGGTATCCATGCCTTACGAGAAAATCATAGTCACTGGCTCCATGTCAAAAGCCTACTCTCTAGCTGGTATTCGCATTGGTTGGGTCGCCTGCAAGGACAAAGCTATCATCGAAGCTCTCGCGGAAGCTCGAGACTATACCACTATATCTGTCTCGCAGCTTGACGATCAAGTTGCCTCTTATGCCATGAATCAATCCGTCATTCATGCACTCCTTGGTAGGAATATCAAACTTGCCAAAACCAACGTGGCACTTGTAGATGCTTTTGTCAATGAACATAGCGAGAACCTGTCTTGGGTAAAGCCAAATGGTGGTACTACAGCCTTTATCAAAGTGGAAAACAGAAGGGAGCCAGTGGATGATGTACAATTCTGTGTGGATGTTATTGAGAAGACCAAGGTTATGTTCTTACCGGGCTCGAAATGTTTTGGTGAGGAATTCAAAGGTTATGTGAGAATTGGATTTGTGTGCGAGACGGAGGTTTTGAAGGAAGGTCTGCAGAAGTTGGGAGGATACATTAGAGAATATCTTAAGTGATAAATGATGAATAGACATTATCATGATTCAAGAAACGTTTCAACATAACACAATACCCTAATAAATGAAAACATTGTTCTTACCCAGTGCACCTTGATCCCGTTTCAGAACGCATCTTTCATTTCATGGTGAGGTGAGCTACTTCTTAGACTGCCGCCCAAACCACTAAACACGGTTCCCAAAAATCCGGACTAGCAGACTAATTGTAAACTCTCAATGTTTGGACACAATGCAATATTTAAACTAAATGCAAAAATGCAATTTTTCTTAAAGCTGTGGAGAAGTTAAAAGCAGTAGAACATTCAAATTGAAGCTGTCATCCCTATCTATCTCGATCATGTATTTGTATGCAGACATTGAAAGCTTAAAATTGTTGGGTTAGGTTGTGCTCTGAACGGATCGACAAAAATTGCTATGCATACCTATCTACCTACCTACAGAACAACGAATGAGCCATCTCAACATCATTTAGTTACTTACTCATAGTCATACATTCAACAGCATGAGCAGTCAACACACCATAAACCCGTATCAATATTGAAATTCTTTCCTAATCTTTGTATTCTCCATTGGGTATAAACATATGTCTAAAGCATAATCATAATCATAAGCAAAGAAACATCGCAGTCCCTCCATTCCTCATTGTCATTATCGTCTCTGATTCCTTCATCCTCCTCGTCGATTCCCTCCTGTTAAACCACAGTCTCCCATCATTATTCATTCATCAATCATTGTCCTCATACCCGCGTCCCTAGCTCGCATCTCTCCCCAACGACCAACACAAAAGACATCACCCTCCAAACCTCATACCTTCTCCTCCTCAAGAAATCTCAAGAGCCATTCCCTTCCCCGCCACACCAAGCCCACCCATTGCAACCCCCTCCTTCCCCTAGAAGAATAACAAATCTCTCTAAACTTAATTCCCTCCTCCCCATTCCCACTCCCATCCGCACACTCAAACCCCGTGCTTGCATTCTCCCGTCCCGCTTTCGCACTGCTCAATCCAACCATACTCTTTACCTTTCTCATTCCCTTAATCCTATTCAATCCACCCATCGCGATATCTATCCCGTCCATCTCCATCTCCACATCATCTTCAAATTCAACAGCACTTCCATTAAACGCCTTGCCTACAGAGAATCCAGCAATCCCATTTCCGCTATTGACAGAAGCTTCGAGTGCAGCGGCCCTTGCCATGGCTTTGCTCGTCTGCACACCATAGGTGTAGAGAGCGGTGAAGACGAGAGAGGTGCCTAGCATGACGTGGAGGGTGTAGAGGATGTAGAGGGTGATGGATTTAGAGCTGAGGAGGTAGGCGAGGTTGGAGAACATTTTGACTGATGTAGGACTTGTACTTTAAGGGCTACTTTCTGTGCTTTGAGTAGTGGATTTATGTGTGCTTTGTTGTAGAGTATGGTTGATACTCGAAGTCGAAGTCGAGATTGATGGTGCGAGTAAGAGAGTGGTTGTTTGTGGATTGGGTGGAAGTTGTATGAGGAGCTTTTGATAAAGTGAATTGATAGTAATTTATGATGGTATTGTATTTGTTTTCGTGAATTTTTTGGTAAGATCTAAGTTGTATGTTGTATGTTGGATAAGGTAGAGGGAAGATTGGTGATGGGTCGATTTGATTGTAGTGCTTCGGAAAAGGCAAGAGCAGATGACTTATATCTATACTTCTTGATTCTTGAAAAAACGCGCGGTACCAATAAAAGAAGAGATTTTTCTTGATTAAATTTTTTCAAAGCATTGCCGGGCCATCATTTATTGATTGTTGTGATCTCCTTCAACCCCATATTCTGAAGTCATCGTGAAGTTACTACGATTAATGAATTTCTCCTTGCAAGGAACATGCTCGCAATATCATTCATGCCCATAGAACCAGCAAATCATCCCATAATTTTTAGGGAGTGAAACCTCTCAAGCGAGCCCAACTGCCAGCACATCCCTCGCGTGAAGGGGAAAGACACAGCCTTATTTCAGGGGTAGCCACGGTAAATGCATTCATGTCAATAATATGAGCCGCGAATATAGGGCTTAATTTTCAGCGCATGAAGCACTTTTCAACGTCGTCTAATCTTTTCACCGAATGCACTACGTCAGTGCGGAGTCCTTCTGGAACATCTGAAAGAAGGGCATGGTGATAGGAGATCGTGAGATAGAGATGAAATCGTAGGAGGGGGGAAAAAGAGTTTAGTAGTAAGGGTTGAACGGCATTGATGACCTCAAACTTCGAATGTTACCCAGCCACCACAATATATCGAGTTCACGACTCAGATGCTTGGCCATCATCTATGTATTATGGGGGATAATAGAGTGCGTGTTTGATAAAAGTAAAATTATATGATGGGTAGTTCATCGTATGTTTGGTGGTCGGGCATTCATTCTTTCAGAATGGCGGGTCTGAGTGTTTCGTAAGATATTCGACCTCCTGCCATTGACTTTCATTGAAGTTCACATGACTCATTAACAGTGATTTGAAATACCCCAATTCCCATCAATGAATTTCGAATGTTTCCAGGTCGAATAGTCCGTTTTTTACTCCTCGAATGCCTTCCCCATACATGAAGCCATCAATGTATGCCTCTCCCACGAGAATGTAGTGATCATCAGTCTTTCTCAATATGACAGGAAATCTACACCTGGAAGAATGCAGATCAAATCATTTTTGGAGCAGTTCCATGGTCCAAGTCCAATGATTCCTGTGTCGGAAACGACGAAGCAGCGTCTGTTCATTGTCCAACAAGCGGAGATAAGAAGTGCTAAGTGTTCCTTCTCATCGAGAGTTCCCTCAATCGTTGAGATAGAGGATAATGGAAAACTAAGCTTGGGTAGTTGTTCCGATAGTATTGTTGCAAGGGCCTTCATTCGAATAGCGTATTCTGTGTGATCGTTGAAGGTCCAATTGCCACAAGAGATTGTTCTACAGAATGCTCCATGCTCTCGTAGGGAGGGTCTTCTCTTAGAGACAACGATACTCCACCATTCTTGTAGAACTTTCAGACCCCTACCATTGTTATCTCTAGAGTTCAATTCTCTTCTGAAGGACAAGCCGGTTTTTTGGACTATTCCTAAGATGACACCAGTAGTTCTCAAAACATATCCATCTTGAAGAAATTGCACATTAGCATAACTATCACCGGAAGCCATGAACTGAGGTTTGCTATGTTAAAGTCCGATTATTGTGGCTGGCGGCTTTGGGAGGTCTTGTCCAGTTCGGTACCCATGAAGGAAGACCGTCATTGTCGGGCGTTGTTTGGTTTCTTTTGATTGACACATATAACATCCAGTCTTCGAGAATCCTGAATTATATGTCTCGCAGTGTGCGTATATACCCGTCGAATTGACAATGAATAATCAATTTTACCAAAGGACTCCCGTGAGTTCGATATCCCTACCAATGCGTACACTTTATCTTTTGGATCTGACGACTTCTTACTCTTGTGAGAAAGCAAAAGCTCAAAAAGAGGAGAGCTGACCGCATCAGGGACCTGATCTCTTGATACTTGCAAGATCTTCGGCCCCCCAATGGTGAGAGTTCGTACCTATGATGGTGATTTTAAGTAGATAGACAACAGTAAGTGTTCTTCTCTTCTTAAAATATCGCAGGTGTTACAAAGCTCCATTATAGGTATACTCTCGTCCCCGCAGAGTACAATTGCTTCTTTGGCACAGGCGACTTCTTGAATGACCCATATCCTCCACCAATACTGCCGACGAAAAAGAGTTATTAAAGCCATCAATTGATCCTGTGTTGACGGGTCACGGAGCATTTTTATCACTTGATTCCTTGAAGCCTTGTTCATTTTTTTGGCCAGTCGGATTGCTAAAGAACTATTGTCTTTCTCGGAACCAATCCAAACAGGTACAGATTGTGCGTTTTGAAAAATGGTTCTCATCTTAGCTATTTGATTATTTCGCTCTGGTATATTGTTCTGGTCAATACAAATGGCATCAACCCACAGAAAGCTTTCGTCATTTTCTTTTTGAGACCGCAATCTCCTCAAAGCTCCAATAAGATTATTGGATGCGGAAAGGCGTTTTCCGTTAACAATTATTGACTCTGAGGAAATTTTGGCCCCCAAGTATACGAAAGTGCTCGATAATTGGGAGCTCTGTGCAAAGCTGTGTGAATGAGCCGACAACGAATAACATCATCCTTCGAAATTGGGGGAAGAAGTCGTAGTAACCGGATCTCATCTAGGCCATGGTTCAATTCCTTATATTGGAATGGGTCAATTGGTTGATTCATCTGTGTGATACTATGTTGTTGTGTAAGGATGAGAATGGTCTTGTTTAGTTGATTGTGTAGCCAAGGAAATCGGTGAAAAAAGTCTGTCAGTGCCGAAGAGAAGTCTTATGATACTATTGATGAGCCACACAAACAGCTTGATCAATCCTCTATCACTACCTAGGTACCTGGAACTGGAAACTTATATCAGAGCTTTCATTTTGTTGCTATTTGATCGATGCGCGACAACTCCAACATACTACTATAACCATAGCAACGGCTAGCCAAGGATGACAGAAAGTGGGGGTTTGTAGGATCCATGGATAACCTTATCTTAAGCTCACCGTTGATTTACAACTCTTTTCAGACCTCTAAGAAAGTTCACACCCGGTTAAAGGACAGATTACCTCCGAATTTTCTATCGACGTCTTGACTGTTAACTTCTGGATGTGATACGATTGCCAATGTGATGATCTTGAGAAATACCTACAAGATACAACAGACCGGCTATGGGTTGGCGACCTAAATATTCCACCCATATCCATAGTTTGGATGAGAGTATATAGGGAACCTTGGAATATGTATATAAATCCGGAAACTTCACCATATTCGCAGATGCACACGAAATGGTTCTTACATTGACATAAGGTACACGTTCATATTTTGGGCCATTCCACTCGAGTCAGAGTTTCCCTATTCTGCCGCCTCGCCGGCTCATTCCCTTCCCAAGGTAATGCTCATTTCACTGTCAATCCAAGTCACTTGTCGATCAACTTTTACCTTGGGAAGGTAGGTGAGTAGGTAAATCATAGGAATTTGTCAAAATCACGCATTTGTTAGTCCAGTTGTGCAACCATGATGAAGTAATAAACACTTGTCGTTCTAGACTAAAAGTCAATGACGTTGTTGAGATATCCCCGCATCGGCGCATCCCCACTACTCTTACTTTGTTCGCATTCTTCACTTCACTTCACTTCACCTCTCTCCTCCTCTCCTCTCCATTTCCATCAAAGTCCTCATTCCAAATTTCAAATCTCAAAGGTCTCCAGTCTATTCCAATTATTCAGAGTATTATCAAGGATAAATCCAAAATGTCTTCCAATTTCTATCTCGAAGGTACCCCAGATGAAGTCAAAAATGCGAAGGTTAGTTACTATCGGCTTGCCTGCCAAACTATACAGCTGACTGGGATTATGAAGGGACTTCATCTTGTAACAATGTCAACTCCCAATGGCAAAAGAGTTCAGATTATGCTCGAGGAGTTGAAGGCGGCATATGGCACCGAATGTAATGAGTGCCATCTGGAATCAAGCGTATAGAGTCTTGCTAACTAAGCTAGATACTCACACTCTCATTAATATCTCAACTAATGAGCAAAAGAAAGACTGGTTCTTGAAGTTGAACCCGAATGGTATGTTATGATAGGAAGTTTTGTGGGAGTTCAATGCTTATTAGTATCTTGCAGGTCGGATTCCTATTCTGATCGATAACACCAAGACTCCTCCATTTCCTGTCATGGAGACCAGTGCAGAATTGCTTTATCTCTTGAAAGAGTTCGACAGCAAGGATATTTTTGGATTCAAGGACGAGTTGGAGAGAAATGAGTGCCTTCAATGGCTGTTCTTCTGGCATGGTAGTGTAAGGTCTTCGTCGCCCTGAAAATACTTCCCAGCTAACAGTTTGATAGGGTGCCCCGGTAAGTCTGAGCATAGAGACGTCATTTATACCATTGTTATTCTATGGAGGGTTCCTAAACTCTCCACATTCTCTAGAAATTTCATCTAAAGTCATGATGTTTTAGCATTACTAATGACTTCAATTTGTAGTACCAAGGCCAAACGAACTATTTTTCCAAGGTTGCGAAAGGAAAGAGTCCAGGTCAGTAGCTATTCAAACTTATGCAGAGCATTTAACTAAGACAAATGCATATATAGAAGCTTTAGAGAGATTCAAGAACGAGACCCTGCGCGTATTTGGGGTGCTCGAGATTCGCTTGTCAGGCAAATATACGGGTGAGCCTCGTGACTACTTGGCTGGCAATGGGAAAGGAAAGTATTCCGTTGCAGATATTGGAACTTGGCGTAAGTTGTCACGATAATCTTTATGGGCCTTTAGTTGACAATGAATTTCAGCATGGGTAAGTGCATGGGACTTCTCTGGTGCATTCACAAAGGAAGATATGGATGCATTCCCGCATGTATTGAAGTGGATTGATAGGATTGCTGAGGTTAGTAATGCCTGTTTTAACGACGACTCTTACTGACAACATCAGCGACCCGCCGTTCAAAGTGGAACAGCCAAAAGATGGCAAAATTGATGAATTTGGTTGTCCAAATAATAGTGGTTAGGTCATTCACAATTGTCATGCACTTGCAACAGCAGAGGTACCTAGCTCTATACAGTTATTAGAGTGAATTGGGAAATCTAAATGAACAACCATTATTGCTTCAACCTTTACCCGTAGGTATATGTGACCTTCTATCTCAGGGCTCTGGCCCAATCAAGGGATTTTTTTTATCTTCGTTCATTGAAAATGTGTTCCTTTAAACTTTGGTATTCAAGTTCTCATTCTGTATGATGAACCTCATTGTCACACCTGAGAACATAACTTCTGGATGCGTTGCCTGCTTACAAACACTCCTTCATCGCCTAGCCATCTGAGTAATCGAGATATTGAAAGATTGTAATTCTAGACGTGAGTGATTTTGGTGCAAATGAATCAATTGGCTATGCACTTGCCCGTTTACTAGCGTTTCAACGACCTACATAAAGCTCGGCTTCCGGCAGAATTCTTTCTTTTCCTGCAACAGCAAACGGCAAACCAACTGTATTCCCAGCATAGGATTCCTGTAATTTCTTTGTGTCACTTTCTGCTGTGCAGGTGTGTTTTAACTTTGTCTATTTTTTAAAGATGCTTTCCATGCAATTGTCGATGATGCTTCTTATTTGCTGCAGTTTTTTTTGCTTTTACTTTTTCTTGTGTGTTTGTTGTCAAATATACTAATCATTATCTTTGTCAGAGCATGAATTTGCAGTCATACCTAGGTACTTTCCTTCATAAAGAGAGAAAGTGTCCCCTCCCAAAATAGGGTAGATACAATCTTGTATCTAGAATTTAGCAGCAACGAGAAACTACTGCTGTCTACGGACGTGAATTTAAGCTCTTTTCTTCTGCGGCACAACTTTATGAGCAGCAACTGCTGAATTTAGCAGCAAGAGTAACTTTCGGATATTTCATTCTCAACACATCTGCAGGAAGAATCTTTAGCTTGAACTTATAAAACGATCCTAATTTCACTATTGGGTGGGTAGGCACAGAAACCCTTCCTGTCCCGAAATTACACCAAAATAAATCCGTGAAAATTCACCATTTCTCCCCCCTCATTTCTCCACCCTCGAATCGGATATTCAATTAGCTATTATATCAATCAATATTTATTTTCAGAAGAATTTATACTTTCCGCCCTCTTTCTTTTTCAAATTTGAGAGACAATCAACCACGCATCTTTACGGACGGAAACACACATATCCAACTCATCGAACTTTACTCATCAATGGACGTCACCGCCCCTCACACACTCCCACTGGCAGAGGTCAGCCATTTTGAAGAATGGTTTAGAATAGCTATGACGTGGAAAACGGGAAAGGTAAGGAACTTTTAGCTTGCCTTGTACCACAATCCCCATTAACCAGTGCTTTTATTGCAGATTTACAGATGTGTATCCCCAGCCAAAGAAAAAAAGTTCGATGGGAGCAAGGGAGAACTGGTAGGACTCTTAACACCGCCGGCTTCTCCCTTGAAGCCAAAGTCTCCATATTTCTTGGACTCTCCAGTGTCGACCCGAAAAAGCTCGATCACATCTTCTCTGGTCTCTCCTATTTCTGAATCATCGTCGTTGGCCCCACTGTGCCTGACGCCACCAATGGTAGTTACACTGCCGATTCAAATTTAGAAATTGATTCAAAGTCTACTTCGTCACAGGCAGCTGATCTCCCCGCTTGTCCCAACTCGGCACCACGCTTACTTACCCCTCCTTCTCCTCCTCCAGAGAAAGCGCCAGTATTCGAGAACGAGTTCTACGAAGTCAAAACTTCCCCAAAGGGCGGTCTAGGTTGTTTTGCCAAAGTGGATATTGAGTCTGGAACTATGATTCATTCCGAGGAACCTTTGTTCTTATCTTCAATGGTGCAAATCTACTACAACTTTGAACAGTTGACAGCGGAAAAACAAGCCGCCTATCTGAAGTTGCATTATTGGCATGGTCTTGCTGCTCACAAGATTCTTGCAATTTTTCAGACTAATCGGTAAGTGTATCCATCCACCTCAACTATTCAACTGTTATAGGCCGGCTCAAAGCGTGTGAGAAAATTGCATCACTGACCCATCTTGTCCATAGTTTTCATGTACCTGGCGGCAGATCTGGGATCTTCCTGAATTCTTCTCGTTTTAATCACGCCTGTCCTGGTTTCTGCAATTGCACTTATGGGTTTCGTAAAGATATCAATAAAATGGTATTCACAACCCTCAGTGACATATCAAAGGGTCAAGAAATCACAATTTCCTACGCGAATGTACCCACTAATTTGTATCAAAACTACGGATTCTTTTGCGATTGTCCAGGATGTCCTCCAGGGAGTTTCGCGTCTAAAAAATGGGAATATGAGAATGATCTGAGAAGACAGGCGGAGAAGCCAATTGACAACGCCGTCGATCTTGAGCCGGAACCGTTTCTAGGGAATGAAGTTGAGGAGTGGGAGAGTGCGATGTTTGAGTGGTAGATTGGGGAAGTGATAGGAGGGAGAGTATGAAAGGGGGGAGAGACACTGTGCTGTTGATGGATGTCTGAGGAGGATCTATGACATGGGAGAAAAGCATTTTTATTCATTGCTTCAGCGGGAGATACCAAGTTGTTGGATAAGTTACCATGGGAAAACTTGAAGATATGCACTTGACATAGCGCTGGATGTTATTAGTCTTGGGGTTGCTACTGAAGTCCGAAATGGACGTTAAACTATACCATCTACTAATTAAGGGGAATGTCGGGGATGGAGCAGCGATTGGTTGTCTTTCAGTGATTGGAAGGTTTATCATTTTGAACATAGAAGTTTGAAGACTCACAACGATTTATGAAACGTTTTCTCTCAAAGACCTAACAATTTTCTGTGGTGCCACGAGGGAAACAATATCTAGAACTTGAAATCCCAAATAAAGATTGTGAGTTTCTGTCTGTAACAAACATAATAAACGCAGTAGAAACGTAGACTCATATCGAAGTCAATAGTCTGTACCAAATATAGATGTTAGATTCTCGGAGCATCTTGCTCTAGAAAAACTATGCTTATATATCTTCTAGTTCCTCCTTTGGATTGTCGTGTGCGAAGATTAGGGAAGACCAAGGGTAGGGTTGAGGAGAAAAAGACGGGGGGGGAGGTGGGGAGGGAGGTTCGGAAGGGGGGTGGGAAGGTTGGGGGGGGAATCTGAGAGGAGATGGGGAGGGAGGGGAAAGGGAATGAGAATCAGGAGGAGGTGGAGGTGGTAAAGGAGATTGATGCGTGAGTGAGTGGAAAGAGGGGAGCGCTGAAGTGATAAGGTAGAGAGAAAAGTAGTAATTAGTGAATAGAATTTGGGAAGAACAGTAATAAAGATGAAAATTTAAAGCTAAAGAAGAGAAAAACTAGTGGATTGTATAATTATATTGATAATGTGAACTTTGGTAATTTAATTAGGATCAAGATCACTACATAAACTTGTAGTCAAAACAAAAAACACGAGACTGGTTAATTCTCGAGTCGGCAGCCGCTGGTTTGTGAAGAAAAGAAATATGATACACGGTGCTGGTGTGAAATTACAAAGTTGAACAGGCCATATTTGAAGAGAACGAAAGGCTGAGAATTTGGGAGAAAGACAGACGGAGAATTAGTATGAGAAATTTGAATACATGATTGGAAATAAGGGAAGTTATCAAGGTGAGTATTCTCGGTTCAGTACCTGGTTATGAAGGCAATAAATAACACAGGAGGTGAATAACAACCATCACAAGCAAGCAAAGACCCACCACCCAACTCACGCTTCACTCTCGCCTCATATTCTCCCTTAACTCTCATCTCAACTCATGACTCTATCCACCATGCTCCACTTAAAAGTCCATAGCACTCCTCCAAAAATATCAAATCCATCTATACCCACCAACCCCAATACCCCCACAAGATTCTCCCTAACAATGAAACCTCAAAAAAATACCCGCACTTCCTCCCAACCGCCAAAACGGCAAAAGCTTAAGAGCGCGACGCTCTTTAACCCCAATGACCCACAATCGGATATGTTATCCTTTCGATAATCCATATATCCGATCGTGTCACTGTCCGATCGAAGCCCTGACAATGCTAAGTAGAAAGGCGGACAACATTCTCGAGAATGATGAATTCCACCGCTGCGCCATCGAGACGTGTGGGTGCTTGTTGGTTGGTCGCGTAGTCGGATATATATTTGAGGGCTGGGAGCGGTTTCGCTTGTATTGTAGGTGTAGGTTTGTGCGATGAACTTGTTTAGCTGAAAAGCTTTGTGATCTTTTATAGAATTACGGAAGTTGATATGGGTAATTTGATCGCTTGTGATCTCAATGACTCTGATATGGACTTCTGTGTGCGTTTCTTTGATATCGTACTGTATCTTATCTCGAAGTTGATAATGACTGATGTAACGTGGTTTAATGTCTACCAGGTAGACATCCATTTACACATTTACTTGTTAGGGAGTTTCTCGCTGCATATAGCGATGACTCTCCAAATCGCGCGAACGGCGAAGTTTTCCTTATTTATCACATTTCCCCCACCATTGTGGATTGCCTGGAACAACTTGCACTCGCGGTGTCCTCGCACAATTGATCCTCCCGCATATGATTGATAGTCTCTCTCAAAATAATCTGTTCCTCCATAGTTCAAACTTCGTTTTCCTCTTCTCCATTTTTCACATTGTCCTCCAACTTCCCAGCATCTTTCCTCCTATTTCTATCCTTTGCTTTGCCCTTAATCTTTGCACTAACCGCCTCATGTTTGTTCTTCCACATCCCTCCATATCTATACTCTGGATGTTTGCCATCGCCATCTACTTTCCCTCCACTGACGTCCTTCCAACATTTACCCGTACATACGAAATGCCATTTTTTCGTTTCGTCAATCTGGCATCGTATCAGTACATCGCGAGGTGTGTGGCATATGGTACAGGGCTTGCTATGTGGCGATGGGGAAGTAGACGGCGAGTTTAAGTTTGCAGATGAGACTGTGTAGTCTCCGGTATTGATGTTGGAAGTATGCTTATGAGGAATTGAATCTTGATCTTCCATATTCGTATCCGTATACGCGGCTTGGTCTTCCGGCATTGTTATAACCTTGATTCAAACGATACGGTGTTATGTGATGTGATGTGATATGAATAGAATCCTGGTGTTTTTGAACATCATGAGTTCTCCAAAAGTCGAGAGTTCGGAAGTCAATGCCGAAGCTTTCCCCATATTTGTGGCTGTGACTGTGCATATATTGCTGCTGCTATAACAGTACACTGTCGAGTTTGGGCATGGAATTGGAGTACTCATGAGGATTATCCTAGAGCTTTACAAAAGGCAGCATTACCTTAGCCACACTCAGCCATAGAATATCTACGTCATCTTGACTCCAATTTATAGAGTTTAGTCCATCATCCATGCGACCGGTCTTGCCAAGATTTGGAGTATTGTCTTTGTTGGGGGAGAGAGAAAAAGTATATAACGAAGCCGTTTTCATTTACTTCATGGATAGCAATACTCTTAATTATAAGAATTAAGTACATTGAACACTTTCGTACATTCACCAATCGAAACATCATCTCCATTACCCGCTGATATCAATCAATCCGACTCAATTCCAATACTAAAGACATAATGGCTGCATCATCTTCCGTAAGTATACTTTCTCTCATCTTGCGTCAGGAATTGTCGAAATCTTGCTAAAGATTTTGATTATCACAGGCGGACGTATTTGCATACATTGTTGCAATCTTCATCCCTCCTCTGGCCGTCTTCTTGAAGACTGCATGTGGAGTTGACTTTCTTATCAATATCTGCTTGACCATCCTTGGTTGGATTCCAGGTGTTATCCGTAAGTCTATGTCCATGTCTCATGCTATGTACTTGTCGATATACTTACAGTCTTATAGATGCCTGGTATGTTATCTCAAAACATGACCCAGCGAAATATGCTCCATAAGAAAGGGGTATTATAGGGGAATGCTGGTGATGATCGGTGATGATACCTTGGGAGTGGGTATATCTAGGAGGGTTTGGCGTTCAAGGTTGAAGGGAATCTCATCGACGGTTCATTCTGAGATGAGGATATCCAAGGAGTAATACATTGTTTTTATACCATTCAGGAGTTCTTCGAATTGATCAATCATACCACAATACTAAGCATACTGTACATACTCGTACATACTCGTACAACCCATTTGCATCTTCTCGAACCTATACCGCCTTGCTCTCCAACATGTCCAAATGATTGTGTCAATGCTTGGAAATTCGATAGATCCTTCTGGATACCTACTAGGTATGTATCTCCTATCTAAGCCCTACAGAGATAGTAAGATCGGATAAACCGGAAGTCATCAGTCCACTAAGTTGAAACCGATTGATAATATTTGGTAATTATTCGAGGGGCGGAGACACCATTATGTCTTGGACGGTTGGACAATTCGAATCTAACACGACTATTTACGGATATTTGGTAATAAAACTCTTGGAATGATGGATGTCAAGAAATTAAGAAAAGGACGGTCCGAAAAAGATGTCAAGCACAGTTAAGCATACTGTACTAGATAGGTAGCCAAGCGAAGGACCCTTCACTTCACCCAAGAACATATAAATAAATGTCATCCCCTCCATCTACTACTTGTTGCTAGGTACACTTTCTCACCTAATTCCCCTTTGAAAAAATCACCACCTTTTCACATATGATTTCGACCAATTTATGCTATACTGTTCGTATTTAATCCCTTCATTTTCAAGCTTTGTAAATGATTGGACTTCTTTATTCTCATCGCCTCAGCTCTAAGGTATTTATTATACTCGTGGTCACTGCTTTGGGGTGTCATGGTTACAGTGTACAGCTCGGCGCACATCGCCATTCCTTCAATGGGAATTGGAGAATGACAGCAAATTGCTTGGACGAGTAGCCCGATGGTTGAGAGAATCATTGCCGGCCCACTCATCTCTCTTTCGGCTGCTCCGTGTTTCAACGGTTAAAAGGCCTGATTGTATCTTAGCAGAAGTAATGGAATAACTCATCTTTTCTCAAAAGCCGGTTTGTTCAAATTGCTGTCGCCAAGCTTGTCGGCTGGGTGCTTGGCAGCTGTGGTGTCAAAAATGCCTTGAATTGTCTCTCCTAATTTTTGAGGGATTATTCACGCTGCAATTTTATTTACTTCAATTTCACCGCCAGAATCCTGTTTTTTTGAATAGTGAATAGCGCACCGTGTCTTTTGAGGTCTGGACCCAATTAATCTCGCAGGAACGAACGAACATTCAAGAAAATCATAACAACCTCTTACAGAGAACGAAAGACGGCAACGACGACCTACGATCTCCAAGTCATCCCGTCCACCTTCCACATCTAAATCTCCCATCATGGCTCGAACAGCCCGACCAGCTCACAGACGCAAACACCATACAACCAGTAGTTCGACGGCGCCAAAGGAAGATATCGAAATGGCTTCATCACCGCAAGTTCACGGCCGCGGTCACGGCCACGTTGCGGAGGTTTCAGTCGAAACTAGTAATGGACATTCGACGACCGCACATCATAACTTATCAGAAACTCTGCACCACATGCTACCTACACATAGAGTCAATCACAAGGGTTACAAAGTTACAAAGGGTATTCAGCCTGATGGAGAAAGTGGTAGACGCGGCATACACCCTTTCCATTTCTTCAAGATATGCTGGACTTCGACCAGTGATGCTTCTCGACTTGTCAACATTCTCTGGCCCGTTGTGCCTGCCGCACTCGCCGTTCGATATGCTAGGCCAGATCTCCATCTGGTGGTTTTTATCCTCAATTACATTGCCATGGTACCCTGTGCGAATTTAATTGGCTTCGCCGGACAGGAGCTGGCGAGGAAACTCCCAAAGGTGTTTGGCATATTGTTGGAAACGACACTTGGAAGTCTTGTGGAGATGATTCTTTTCATAGTCCTTCTAACAAGGTCAGGAAGTACCATGCTATCCTATGTTTACAATCACTGACCCGCTCAAACAGAGATGAATATGGGGTCATTCAAGCTGCGATTTTAGGCTCAATGCTAGCTACCCTACTGTTATGTTTAGGGATGTGCTTCTTTGTTGGTGGTTTGACACGAGATGGTAGGCTCAATTTCTCGTATACTTTGGTGTCTGTTGCTAAATCACATCTTAGAGCAGGAATTCGACGAAGCTGTTAGTGAAGTTGGAAGTGGACTGTTGTTGACGGCGTAAGAGACATTCTCATAGACAATTTACTTATCGCTGACTTTACAACAGTGGACTTGGCCTTATTATACCCTCGGCATTCGCAACGGCCTTGTCATTGAAAACCTCCGCGGAACTCACCCCTGCCGTTATTGCAGAAAAGGTCCTCAACATATCTCGCATCACATCTGTACTTCTCATAATTGCTTATGCTACCTACGTCTTTTTCCAGATGCGAACTCATCACAGCATATACGATGCTATTCTAGAAGCAGATGAACAAAAGGACGAGGATCGCCATAGAGATTTGCAAAAAGACAAGCTTACCTTCACTGAGTGTGTTATTGCTCTTGCTGTCTCAATTGCTCTAGTGACTCTCATTGCCATCAGTTTGGTCGAACAGATACCAACAATTGTTGAAGAACATAATATTTCTGATGCATTTATGGGCCTTATCCTTGTTCCTCTGGTTGAAAAAGCTGCCGAGCATCTTTCTGCGGTAGATGAGGCTTACGACAATCAGATGAACTTCGCATTATCTCATGTTCTAGGCGCAACGATTCAAACAGCATTGTTTAACGGTCCTTTGGTTGTCATCATTTCCTGGGGTTTGAATAAGGGGTTGGATCTCGACTTTGAGATGTTTGATATTGTTGTTCTGATCCTAGCTATTTTGGTCGTAGGAAATTTCTTACGAGACCAAAAGAGTAACTATCTAGAAGGAGCTCTATGCGTGATTGTTTACATCATTATCGCAGTGGCCGCTTTCTTTTATCGTAAGTAAAATATTTGATCGTTGTAATCTTTGCGGTAAAAACCCATATTTCAGTTAAGCTAACTTGTAATTCAGCTAATCCGGAAGAACATGCTGTCGAAGGCGAGGCGACTGGTGCAGCCATAGAAGCTGTTCGTCGTCTTCTTTGATGTTATGCATGAAAAGATTCTGGCCAGGTGTTTGATAATATAAATCTGAGCCTAGCACGTCTTGAAAGGTCTCCGATACGTACTATTGATACCCATCATATAGTAAGATTGTCAGAATGTAGAGTTTGATGTAAATATATAGATATAGCTTTCACATTTTTATCGCTTGCTAGCGATCAGTCACGAATTATACATGAAGTTTGATTTTATTCTTTGTCCCAGCTAGCAAGGATTCTCATCGCTTTGCATTCCCGTCTAGTTTTAGACATCATGTCGCCGATTGTGATCAAGAAGGCATATACGATTATGACGACTCAGATTTAGACACTAGCTAGCAAGGAAGCAGATGTACTCTGACCATCGACGAAAGCTTGATTGAGTTCTTCCGGTATGCCTAATGACAGGTCCATGCGATATATCCTTGCCCAAGTGGTTGGTTGTAGAGCCAAGATTCGCTTATCTCTGCGGGAACTTGGAAGCTTTGAGCGTAGTGTCACGCGAGCCTTTTTCTAGCTTCCTTTTAGAGCTTAAGTCAGGTCCCCCACTGATTCACCCCTCAGTACCTCGGATTAGCACTTACTTAGTTAAGAAGGCGTGAAAACCTATCGCGAGAGAATTGATAATTATTCAGGTAAACTGAAATAGTAGAGACGTTGATCGGATGAGGAGGCCAATCGCTCTTTTCTCTCCATGGGTAGCTATTGGCCGTTTATGGTAATTGGCATGGTTAATATGCTAGCAACGTCCTATCAAGGTATAATGGATGATGACATACATGATCTGAATGACAATTGCCAATGGCAAAGAAAAAAAATCTCGTGTTGATCAACAAGCTATCACTACTGCTCAAGGCGTGCCCTCGGCACCAGTACTGTGCCTGGTCAAATATATAAATATGTCTGAAATCCCCTCGTATCTGTTATTCTCTCCCGTCGTCTGATTCTCAAGTTGTGCATTTGCCATTCATATCGACAAGATGCGTGGCTTGAATTCCTTAGCAGTTTTGCTTGCTGCCTCTGTTACTTCGGTGGTAGCTATTTTGCCACATCACGAAGCTCATGCAAAATATGCAAAAAGAGCACAGCCAAAGAAGGTTCTCCCCAGGCAACCTGCAGTGAGGCCAAGATCGATCTCGAAGTATTTGACAAATTCAACGGCTTGTAAGTCAATTTCCATTTCATGCTATACGTTATCCTAGGGGGGTGTTGTATGACCAGAATGTGTATTGATTTCAGTTCTAGCTTTTGCCGTCAATGGAACCGGACTACCCGAGATCGACTTCGATCTTGGTGAATCATATGCCGGAACTTTACCCATTAGCACCAATGCTAGCGACACAAATCGATTGTGGTTTTGGTTTTTCCCATCCGAAAACCCTTTGGCGGAAAAGGAGATCACAATATGGTTAAATGGCGGTGTAAGTTTATATACCCAAGATCTTCATCTCCTATTCTAAAAGACATTACTAAATATGTCTCTAGCCAGGGTGCTCATCCCTTGACGGACTGTTTCAAGAAAACGGACCTTTCAGTTGGCAATCTGGCACATATGCACCTATTCCAAATCCATACTCATGGACTAACTTGACCAACATGATCTGGATCGATCAACCCGTCAGCACTGGATACTCGCCTGGAGATATCCTTGTTGACGATGAGATCGATGTTGGAAACCAATTTGCCGCATTCTGGAAGAATTTCATTGATACCTTTAGCATGCAAGGCTACAAGGTTTACATCACTGGCGAGAGTTATGCTGGGCAATATATTCCATACATTGCTAGTAACTTCTTGGACCGCAACGATACCACATACTACAATTTGAAGGGTATTCAGGTGTGTAGCCATGAAAATGAATCAATGACCATGTTGTGTGCTAACCAGATGCTAGATCAATGATCCATCGATCAACGATTACGATACAATGAGTTCGGCCCCTGTCACAGCTGCAGCTCTGTACTATCAGAACGTCCTTAACCTCAACGATACTTACATTGCAAACATTACTGCACGAGCAAAGTCTTGCGGTTACACTGACTTTCTCGAATATGCATCAGTATTCCCTCCCGCAGGACCAATCCCAACAGCTCCAAGTTCGGGAGAATATGGCTGTGACCTTTACGATGACATTTACAACGCAGTCTACTACGTCAATCCATGTTTCAATATCTACCATCTCACAGATTACTGTCCATTCTTATGGGATGAACTCGGATTCCCATCTCTCGGTGGAGGTCCCAACAACTACTTCAATCGTACCGATGTCAAAGAAGCTCTCCATGCGCCAGTCGATGTTGATTACTTCATCTGCTCTGGTGGACCCAATTTATTCCCACATGGAGATAAATCCATTGATTCTGCTCTCGGTCCTCTCCCCTCTGTCATCGAACGCACAAACAACGTTCTCATCGGCCACGGACTTCTCGATTTCCTCCTGTTCGCCAACGGTTCTCTAATCACCATCCAAAACATGACCTGGAACGGTCTCCAAGGATTTCAAGAGGCTCCTTCTTCGACCCAAAA